CCTGGGATCCGAACCCGGGCCGCCAGCAGCAGAGCGCACGCATTTAACCGCTAAGCCACTGGGCCGGCCCCAGTTTTGTTCTTAAATGCAGAAAAAGAACAACCGGTTTTGGACTAAAGAACTTCATTTAGCAGAGCTATGAAGTGGCCACTACAGGAGCTGGCAAGGTTGTGGTAGCTGTTCGTTTTTGAGCCAGAAAGATGGGTTAAGTTATGGAAAGTTAGAGAGTAGTACATATGATTGGGAAGGGAATGCTGGGTGGTCATCCAGAAGGGGGTGTTTAGAAGGTGAACCAAGTAGCAACTTGAGCTTCCTCACAAGTGACAGTGATTGATGGCACCTTAGCATTCCAAGCTGTGGCTGCAGGTGTGGATAGTCTGGGACGTGGCCCTGAATGAGGCAGAGTTCACAGGCCAGGGCCTTGGTTACCCTCAAAACGCAGCATCTCCCTCAGGAGCCGCTGAGGAACACACACCTAAGTGGGCACCCTCAGCTCTTTTAGAGCTACTGTTTGCAAGATGGGGAGCTGGCTGTCTTCTATCCCTGGGTCTCTGGCTCTCATCTTTCTTACTCTAGTTTTGTTGTTTTGTCCATGTTTTTCAACATTTGCACACAAAGTCTGCCAAACATTTGGAACACTGCTTTATCTCTGCTTTCTGCTCCAAAGTCCTGTTTTAATTCTGGATATTTCTCACATAGTTTAGGATTATTTTGGAGCTGAAGGGTGCTAAGAGTATTACCTGTAGATAATTGAGGCTTTATATTTTTTATGTTTTTCTATTCCTCCTGTGTAGACTCACTCACACTCACAGCTCATATTTAGTCCCTCCTAGCTTAGGACAGACATTGTATTTCTCTTGCCTAGTGTAAATTAGAATTGTCCTTGACCCAGCCGGACTTTTGGTTATAACTTAATGGTGTAAGCATAGCCTTAGATGACTACTTCCAGTTGGTACAGGGGTCTAAAGTGGCCACTGGAGCTCTGCTTCACATCTTTGCAGAGCAGAGCCCCACTCTGGCCCTCACAGTTTCACCTGGCTCTGAGAAGTTGTCTAATTTTGAGAAGGGGCAGGCAGCTTGCTGTGGCCACCAACATTTGCGTTAGCCAGGAATTCGAGGGGTCAGCAGACGAACTCTTAGCCTGTGCTTCCACATTAAGACTTCCCTTCTAGCCAGTGTCTTTTTTTTTTTTTTTTTTTGTGAGGAAGATCAGCCCTGACCTAACATCCGATGCCAATCTTCCTCTTTTTGCTGAGGAAGACTGGCCCTGGGCTAACATCCGTGCCCATCTTCCTCTACTTTATATGGGACGCCGCCACAGCATGGCTTGACAAGCAGTATATCGGTGCACACCCAGGATCTGAACCTGCAAACCCTCTGGCCGCCACAGCGGAGCACGCGCACTTAACCACTGTGCTACCAGGCCGGCCCCACCAGTGTCCTTAAATAGCCATTTTGTAGCCTGTGTGTTGTTGTCTTGCCCTAAATAGGGTTTGTCTCCACTGTCATCCTCAGTTACACCTTTATTTAGCTCAGCCCCAATATTAAAACTTCACACTTAGAGCAGTAAACAGCAGGAAGTGGGTTGTTTTTCCGTGTCTGAGTCCCACGGTAGCAGTGGAGTTAAGGAGCACCTGATGGTAAAGCAGACAGCAGCTTATCCTGTGAGTGTGGCCTTGTTAAACCCATGCATTCAGCTATGTGTGTCCCATTGAATGGGTGGGCACTATGGACACTGCAAGGGCAGGGGTGTCCATCAGCCCTGGAAAGGACCACAGGCACTGAGCAACCAGCTGAGTGCTGTGAGCAGGTCAGGGGAGATCCCTCAGAGAGAGCACATGCAAGCTGGGTCTCAGTGTGTGGGAACTTGTTGAGGGGCCAGATGTATTGACCCATGAAAGAAGTTCATTTGAGGAAACAGCAAGTAGTCCTGTGGAGCTGTAGAATGGGGCACGTATTATCACAGTACAGACTCAGAGTTACACACCTTTACCTACACATATAAATTGATAGCTATATTTTTAACTGTCAATGCCCCTGAACTATAAATATGGGACAAATGAGGCTACTTACAAATTATAGTAGATTAATGTGCATAGCTTTGAGGAAATAGGTTACCCCAATACAAATGTTATGACTACATTTGCTAGGTCCTTTTGAAAGACAAAATTATATGCAATGTGAGAATGCTTGGGAAAGGGTTTATCAGTTTTATAAATTGAATTTAAAAATCATGAATAGAGTATTGTGGGCCCTTCACGGTGGGGAATTTGCTTCCACCATTATTGCAGGCTTAGAATTGTCAGGGGCTATGTTGGAATTGTGGTTTCTGCCCTTGAGGAGCGCACAATTCCCTCTGAGACCCTGTTGAAAGCAGTAATCCCTCTTCCAAAAACTTCCAACTCTTCCAGATTTTTTTTTTTTTTTTAAGATTTTATTTATTTATTTTTCCCCCAAAGCCCCAGTAGATAGTTGTCTGTCATAGCTGCACATCCTTCTAGTTGCTGTATGTGGGACACGGCCTCAGCATGGCCGGAGAAGCGGTGCGTCGGTACGATCCTGGGATCCGAACCCGGGCCGCCAGCAGCAGAGCACGCACTTAACTGCTAAGCCACGTGGCCGGCCCCCAACTCTTCTAGATGAAAAAAAAAAAAAAAAATCTGGTCTTGCTTTTTTGAACAACATTCTGTTACAGTAAACTTCAGAAAAATTAGGAGAAAATCCTTGGTCTCTGGGAGAGCCAATGTTGGAGTAATACACTCCACTGGGGACTATTAGGAACATTTTAAAGAAGAGACAACATTGAAATTTTAGTGTAAATTTAGTGAAATTTTAGTGAAAGGGAGTGGTTTACTGGGGTATGAAAGGACATTCTGCACAGAAGGAAAAGCTGAGCCAAGGCACACCGAGTTGTGAACAGGCTGAGGCAAGGTTAGAGAGCTGAAGTTAGACTGTCTCTACCATTAGTCAGATTGGCTGCCCTCAGACTCTGGGAAATGAGTTTTAAAAAGACCAAGTACCACAGACATCTTCCTGTATTTCCTTTGGCTTTGTAAGTCTTACATTAAAATGCTGTGATAGGGGCCAGCCCAGTGGTGTAGTGGTTAAGTTTGTGTTCTCCACTTTGGCAGCCCTGGGTTCACGGGTTTGGATCCTGGACCTGGACCTACACACCACTCATCAAGCCATGCTGTGGTGGCGACCCACATACAAAATAGAGGAAGACTGGCACAGATGTTAGCTCAGGGACAATCTTCCTTAAGCAAAGAATAAATAAATAAAATGCTCTGATGTTATATACATAAAAAAAAAAAAGAGCAAGTAGAAAGAAGGAATTTTGAACACAATTTTTTTTTTTTTTTTTTTTTTTTTTTTGGGAGGAGATCAGCCCTGTGCTAACATCTGCCAATCCTCTTCTTCTTTTGCTGAGGAAGACGGCCCTGGGCTAACATCTGTGCCCATCTTCCTCCACTTTATATGGGACGCCGCCACAGCATGGCTTGCCAAGCAGTGCGTCGGTGCGCGCCCGGGATCCGAACCAGCGAACCCCGGGCCGCCGCAGCGGAGCGCGCGCACCTAACCTCTTGCGCCACCAGGCCGGCCCCTGAACACAATTTTGAAGGCACTTGCTCCTCTGTGCACCCTCACCCCCTTCAAACTTAGACTCTATTTTAACCACCTTACTGGCTCCTTTTTATAGTATAATCTCGATACCTCACACCTTTTCTGGATTTAGGTGGGGTGTTAAAACCTGTCAAGCTGCTCAAGCAAAGTTCGAGTAATAGAGGGGAAGAGGCAGCCAAAAATGTGTTCCCAGCTGGAAGGTAACAGTTTGACTTTTAGGACCCTGTGTAGACAGTAAGCTTTTTGAGGGTGTGGATTGTCTTCCTTACTTCCATATAATGTCAGCTTAGTACGTGTTCGTGGAGCACCAGGTACTCAGTGTCTATGATGTGCCAGGCCCTGCAAGAGTTGCTGGGACTAGACAGACAGTGTCTGTTGCCTAATTTAGGATGGCATTCCATTCTTCCAGGAAGCCCTGGTCCGTTCTCTTTAGCATTCAAGTGAACAGGTTTTAGTGAAAGATGGGTCTCTTTTTTTTCCCCTAAGGGCAATAGATGCAAGCTGTTTGACTCCCCTTCCACGTGTAGCTCCACCACGCGGCCAATGTTGAAAAGACCAGACCGATCTCAAGAGGAGTCCCCACCTGGAAATACAAAGCGGAGGAAGAGCATGGCTGGGGCCAGTCCTGGAGAGGCAGCTAGTCCAGAGAAGCCCCAAGAGGTTAGTTTTGCAGGTTCCTTTTTGCTTGAGGAGAGTAATACTGTATTTTTCAGTTCTAAAATTTCCATTTTGTTCTTCCTTTTCTTTGCTGAGGCTTGCTGGGGTTTTTTTGTATTGGGGGTTTTTTTTTGTTTTTTTCATTTGTTTCGAGCATATTTGTAATTGCTTGTTGAAGCATTTCTATGATGGCTACTTTAAAATCCTTGTCAGATAATTCCAAAATCTGTGTCTTGTTGTGGGCCTCTGTTGATTGTGTTTTCCTATTCAGGTTGAGATTTTCCTGGTTCTTGGTATGACAAGTGATTTTTCAATTGTATGTGTATATTTTGGGTATTATGAGACTCTGGTCTATGTAAATCTTCTGTTTTAGCAGACCTCCTCTGATACTGCAGGAAGGTGGGGATGGAAGTTCAGGTTCCCCAACACAGCCTCCCTTGACACGACACATAGGGTGGGGGCAGGCCTCATTATTGCTGGGCAGGAGTGGGAGTTCACGCTCCCTATTAGGCCTCCACTGACACCATCCCAGTGGAGTAGAGATTAGGACACTTAATTATAGCTGGGCCAGGTGGAAGTCTAACCTGCCCCCCTGCTGGCAGGGCATGGAGTAGAGCCATAATTTTTTCTTGGTGTTTGGCCAAAGTAGAGTTATTTTGTCTAAAAGTTGTCTTGATAGCCTGCCCTTTTCTTAGTCCTTTGGCTAGGGAGAGTGGGCTCTTGGGGCTTCTTGTTTCTTTGGGTTTGCTCTCTCTGGCTTCATGAATTTTGTGCTAAACTCATTTGTTTTGTTGTTTCCTGACTTATTTAGATCTATAAATTTCCCACTACTTTAGGTTTGTCTCACAACTTTGATTGTAGAGTTTGACATTCTAGGTATTTTAGTGCCTTTATTTCCTTTTAATTAAGACCTATCATGGCCTTTAAAAAGTTTAATTTTTATAAGGGTTTCACCTATACTCAAAAAAAAATATGTGTCCTCTTTGGTGTCAAGTTCAGTATATCTAATTCTATCGAAACAATTGCTCATAGTTGTATGGTTTGTTTTCATGTTATTTTGGAACTTTCTCCACGAATAATGTATCATGAACACCCTATAATCAGTATGCAAATCTAAATTATTTTTAAATAGCTGCATGAGAGTCCTTACTATGGATGTGCTTATTTTTCTGTTGATTAACATTCAGATTGTTTCCAGTTTGTTTTGTTTTGTTTTTTAAGGTTTTATTTTCCTTTGAGCATCACTATGAACTCATGGATCTTAACATATATGACATGTTTCAAGTGTCTCAATTCATGTCTATCTCTTTTTGTTGTTGAGGAAGATTGGCCCTGAGCTAACGTCTGTTGCCAATCTTCCACTTTTTGCTGAGGAGGATTGGTCCTGAGCTAACATCTGTGCCCATCTTCCTCTATTTTATATATGGGATGCCGCCGCAGCATGGCTTGATGAGTGGTGCATAGGACCGCGCCTGGGATCTGAACCCACAATCCCTGGACTGGCCCCCTTGTTTCCAGTTTTTAAACACTATAAACAATTACAACATTCACCATCCTTGCGTGTTCATTTTTTAAATTTTTTTATTATTTTTAATTTTTTTTTTTTTCGTGAGGGAGATTGGCCATAAACTAACATCTGTTGCCAATCTTCCTCTTTTTGCTGAGAAAGATAGGCTTTGAGCTAACATCTGTGCCCATCTTCCTCTATTTTATATATGGGACGCCGCCACAGCATGGCTTGATGAGTGGTACATAAGTCCGTGCCAGGGATCCGAACCTGTGAACCCCAGGCTGCCAAAGCACAGCGCACCAACTTAACCACTATGGCACCAGGCTGGCCCCCTTGCATGTTCATTTTTAGAGGAATAAGCAAGGTTGCTGGGGCAAATGCTATGTACATTTACTATATTTATTTTCTAACAAGGAGCCAGAAGTGCAAGTGCCTACCAAAAACAAATGGATTGAAAATCTCCCCAGCAGTGAATGTTACCATTCCTAGGAGGTTTTTGCTATTTTGACATGTGAAAAGTTGTATCTTATGTGTGTTTCTTGACTCCAGGGGAGATTGAGCATCTCTTCATTTCTTATTGACCATTAGCTATTTCTTGGGGTGAGTGACTTGTCTTTATAGAGTCATGGTTCTCTGGGTATAAGTCCTATGCTCCTTTGTATTATTTATCCTACGAACTAAAGCCTTGAAAACATTGCATTCCAGCTCTGGTTACTCCATTTTTCTTTATATACTTTGGCTTATGTTCATAGATTTCTCCATTTTAAAATGATTCTTTCTTCCTGAAATGTCATATTTGCTTATTTAGAATTATGGTGGTTTTTTTTTGTTGTTTTGTTTTGTTTTGTTTTGTTTTGTGAGGAAGATCAGCCCTGAGCTAACATCCATGCCAATCCTCCTCTTTTTGCTGAGGAAGACCGACCCTGAGCTAACATCTATTGCCAGTCCTCCTCCTCTTTTTCCCTTTTTTCTCCCCAAAGCCCCAGTAGATAGTTGTATGTCATAGTTGCACCTCCGGCTAGTTGCTGTATGTGGGACGCCGCCTCAGCATGGCTGGACAAGTGGTGTGTGAGTGCGCGCCCGGGATCCAAACCCAGGCTGCCAGTGGCGGTTTTGTTTTTTTACTAAGGAAAATTCGCCCTGAGCTGACATCTGTGCCAGTCTTCCTCTATTTTGTATGTGGGTCACTGCCTCAGCATGGCTGCCGATGAGTGGTGTAGGTCCACACCCCAGAACTGAACCTGGGTCACCGAAGCAGAGTGCACCGAACTTAACCACTAGGCCACGGGGCTGGCCCCAATAATTGCTTTTTTGTATTTTGTTTTTTCTTCATTATACTATGCTTGTATCAGATTTTGGTATTAAGGTTTTGTATTAAGCATTATAAAATAAACTGGAGAACTGCCCTTCTTTTCTTTTTAATGGTTTTTTTGTGTGTGTGAGGAAGACTGGCCCTGAGCTAACATCTGTTGTCAATACTCCTCTTTTTGCTGAGGAAGATTGGCTCTGAGCTAACATCTGTGCCCATCTTCCTCTGTTTTGTATGTGGGATGCCGCCACAGCATGGCTTGATGAGCGGTGCGTCGGTCCATGCCTGGGATTTGAACCTGTGAACCCTGGGCCACCAAAGCAGAGCATGCAAACTTAACCACTATGCCACTGGGCTGGCCCCACCAATCTTCCTTTTTTTGCTTGAGGAAGATGGTCCCTGAGCTAACATCTGTGCCAATCTTCCTTGACTTCTGCATGTGGGACGCCGCCAAAGCAGAGCACCTGAACTTAACCACAACGCCACTGGGCCAGCCCCTGCCCATGTTTTCTGTAGCATGAAAAGGTTTGAATAAATATCATTCGTCTTAAAAGGTTAGCTAGATTACAACTATGAATACATCTAGGGCTGGTGCCTTATATTTCATAATTTGCTTTAGTTACCTAATATTTGGTGGACATTTTGTTTTTTTCAAATTAAAAGTAGAATTCTACGGGGCCATGCTGTGGTGGCGTCCCACATACAAAATGGAGGAAGACTGGCACAGATGTTAGCTCAGCAACAATCTTTCCTCAAGCAAAAAGAGGAAGATTGGCAACAGATGTTAGCTCAGGGCCAATCTTCCTCACAAACAAAAAAAGAATTCTAAGTTAAAGGACAGGAACCTTTATGAAACTTTGCATTGTATACATGTCAACAAATTGCCTTTTAGAAAGCTTCTAGTTTATATATCAAGATTTAAGAATATTTCCTTTTACTCTTGCCATACTCGGGATTTACCTTTTTATTTTCTTAATATTGTCAAATTTCCAGTCTGGGTTCAGTTTTCTCCAGTTGTCTCCCACTGTCTTTTTTTTTTTTTTTTTTTTTTTTAATTTTTTGTTTATTGCAGTAACATTGGTTTATACACTGTATAAATTTCAAGTGTACATCATTATACTTCTATTTCTGCATAGATTACATCATGTTCACCACCCAAATACTAATTACAACCCATCACCACATACACGTGCCGAATTATCCCTTTCGCCCTCCTCCCTCCCCCCTTCCCCTCTGGTAACTACCCATCCAATCTCTGTCTCTGTGTGTTTGTTTATTGCTGTTATTATCTACTACTTAATGAAGGAAATCATACGGTATTTGACCTTCTCCCTCTGACTTATTTCACTTTGCATAATACCCTCAGTGTCCGTCCATGTTGTCACAAATGGGTGGATTTCATCGTTTCTTATGGCTGAGTAGTATTCCATTGTGTATATATACCACATCTTTTTTTTTTTTTTTTAGGGTTTGCATTATTTTATTTATTTTTTTAATTTTTTGTTTATTGCAGTAACATTGGTTTATAACATTGTAAAAATTTCAGGTGTACATCATTATACTTCTGTTTCTGCATAGATTACATCATGTTCAAAAATATGGAACGCTTCACGAATTTGCGTGCCATCCTTGCGCAGGGGCCATGCTAATCTTCTCTGTATCGTTCCAATTTTAGTATATGTGCTGCCGAAGCGAGCACCCCCAGTTGTCTCCTAAATGCTTTTTCAATTTGTTCACATCAGATCTGTACATTGCATTTGGTTGATAGGTCTCATTCTTCGGGTTCCTGGGCTCCATCTTTTTGTTTCCCTCTTGCAATTTATTTGTTGAAGAACTCAGGTCATTTGTCTTAGAGGTTCCCACAGATGTGTGGAGACTTCTAACATTGTCTTCTGTCCCCCCCATGTTGCCCATAAACCTGGACCCTAGAAAGGCTTAATCAGATTCGGGTTCTGTTTCTTTGGCAAAAATATTTCATGGATGATTTTGTTTACTTTGATCAGGAGGCACAATGTGGTGGGCAGCCATCGAAGACTGTTGCCTAGATTCATTACTTCATTTAACCAGGATTTCAAAAAGGTGATCCTGCAGTCCTATCATTCTTTCTTTGTTTATTAGCAGAATGTTCCTATAAAGAGAAACTTATCCACGTCACACTCTTTGGTCACCTTTGGGAAAGGCAAGATGAATGCTGGATCTCTTTATTTGCCAGTTTTCCAAATAATGCCCTACCTAGCATCTTAACAAAGTTGGCACTGAGGCTTGTGGGTTGTTTTTCAATAAAAATTGTGAACTCAAGGATTAAAACATTGATGTTTTTCTATATATTGCAGTTTTTATCCTTTTTAACGCTCAAATCAATCTCTTTCTTGATATCTGGCTATGTCTTCAGTTTGGCTCCAAAGGTTTTATTTTTAAAAATAAATTTAACAAGTTATTTTACCATACATACTGAAAAGTACACAAATAAGTGTATATCTTGATGAATTATGGGGATGAACCCACCCCCATAAATATACCACCTATAATCAAGAAAAAGCATTAGCAGCAGCCCAGAGCCCCTCCTTTGTGCCCCTCCCTCAATAACACTGACCTGACCTCTGACACCATAGCTGAGTTTTGCTTATGTTTGAACCTTATAAATATGGGATCATAGTATATATATGTATGTCTAGATTCTCTTGCTTAACATTTTTGTGAAAGTCATCTGTTGTGTATATCCATAGATTTTTTTTTTCTTTTTCATTGCTGTGTAGTATTTCATTGAATGAACAGACTAGATTATCTGTCCTACTATTGGTTGCCATTTGGGTGGTTGTTCACAGGTTTTGTCCACTATGAATAAAGCTGCTATAAACATTCTTATATAGTTTTTTTCCAGTTTTATTGAGATATAATTGACATACAACACTGTATAAGTTTAAAGTGTCTTGCATAATGATTTGACTTACATATATCATGAAATGATTACCACAATAAGTTTAGTTAATATCCTTCATCTCATATAGATACAGAAAACAAATTTTTTTCCCTTGTGATGAGAACTCTTAGGATTTACTCCCTTCACAACTTTCATATATACCATACAGCAGTGTTAACTATAGTCATCATTACATCCCTAGTACTTATTTATCTTTTAACTGGTAGTTTATACCTTTTGACCACCTTCATCCGATTCCTCCTCCCTCTACCTCCCACCTCTGGTAAGCACAAATCTGATCTCTTTTTCTATGAGTTTGGTGTTTGTTTGTTTTTGTTTTTGTTTTAGATTCCACATATAAGTGAGATCATACAGTATTTGTCTTTCTCTGACTTATTTCACTTAACATAATGCCCTCAAGGTCCATCCATGTTGTTGCAAATGGCAGAATTTCCTTCTTTTTATTGCTGTATAATATTCTGTTGTAAATATATAACACAGCTTCTTTATCAATTCGTCCCTTGATGGGCACTTAGGTTGCTTCCAAGTCTTGGCTATTGTAAATAATGCTGCTATGAACATGGGGGTGCAGATATCTGTTTGACATAGTGTTTTCATTCCCTTCACATGTATTCCCAGAAATTGCTGGATTATATGGTAGTTCTATTTTTTATTTTTTTTATTTTATTTTATTTTTTTTTATTTATTTTTTATTTTTTTATTTTTTTGGTGAGGAGATCAGCCCTGTGCTAACATCCGCCAATCCTCCTCTTTTTTTGCTGAGGAAGACGGCCCTGGGCTAACATCCGTGCCCATCTTCCTCCACTTTATATGGGACGCCGCCACAGCATGGCTTGCTAGCAGTGCGTCGGTGCGCGCCCGGGATCCGAACCAGCGAACCCCAGACCGCCGCAGCGGAGCGCGCGCACTTAACCGCTTGCGCCACCGGGCCAGCCCCTATTTTTTATTTTTTAAAAACATCCATACTGTTTTCCATAGTGGCCATACCACTTTACAATCCCACCAACATTGCACAAGGGTTCCCTTTTCTCCACAATCTCACCAGCATTTGTTATCTCTTGTCTTTTTGATGATAGCCATTCTAATAGGCATGGAATGATATCTCATTGTGGTTTTGATTTGCATTGCCCTAATAATTAGTGATGTTGAGCACCTTTTCATGTATTTGTTGGCTGTTCGTGTCTACTTGGAAAAATGTCTATTCAGGTCTTTTGCCCGTTTTTTAATTGGATTATTTGGCTTTTTTGCTATTGAGTTACATGAGTT